ACCGTTTTGTGGCCGGTAAATAGAAGGTCTTGGGTAAGACAAACCAATGGTTGATATTGTCAGCAATGGTTCATATTGTCGGGATATGATACCACAGTGGACCATGTTAGCGTGTTTGACCAGCTGATCCACACTGTCAGGGTACGATGCCACAGTGGACCATGTCAGCATGTTTGACCAGCTGATCCACACTGTCGGGGTACGATACCACAGTGGACCATGTCAGCATGTCTGACCACCAGATCCACACTGTCGGGGTACGATATCACAGTGGACCATGTCAGTGTGTCTGACCAGCTGATCCACACTGCCGGGATACGATATCACAGTGGACCATGTCAGCATGTCTGACCACCAGATCCACACTGTCGGGGTACGATATCACAGTGGACCATGTCAGCGTGTCTGACCACCAGATACACACTGTCGGGATACAATATCACAGTGGACCATGTCAGCATGTCTGACCAGCTGATCCACACTGTCGGGGTACGATATCACAGTGGACCATGTCAGCGTGTCTGACCAGCTGATCCAAGAAGTCCCCTCTTACTTCTACAACCAGCTCGGATTACTGGAGACCTATTCTAACACCAGAATACCTAAAGGGTAAAAGATTATCAGATACAACACTCAGCATCAGTCGCCCTGCACCTTGACAATGGAGCGAGTCTGCCTCATAGTCCCCGAATCCTATTATTCTGCCTTATGTTCAGCTCATCAATATTGCAGTAGTTTTTTGTTTTCTGCTAGGACTGTGAACAGTAAACACCCTTTTTGTAGGTGAAAACATAAGGATAATTATCATCTTTCAATCACTTTTGGGAACATACCACCACTAAAACAAGAATATCAAATTCTAGGCATTGCTTAACATCCGTAAAACATATCCATTGTGATTCATCAATCTAATCTATAATACCCTATAAAATTTTAGAATGCTAAAGAGTTAATTTTCTGTGCTGTGATAGTACTGTAATAATCTTGTGGTATGACGGTATGTGCTGGCTGATAAGGTAGATATGTGTTTTCGTTGAAGCTTTCCACATAAATATGCTGCTGGCCATATGCTCTTAAAAAGGGTAGGGGCAAGTTCATGTTTATTGTACGATTGAAAAAAGTGACAGATCCGAGTGTATTATCGTATCAGTGATAATCATGAATGTCCCTCTGATCGTAGTTGTTTGTTCTGTAATCGCTCATGAAAGATGATTGGCGTCTGACGTGCAGTTTGCATGTGTACGATTTTCACTTTCAAACATAAACACCCGGCTGGAAACAAACACTAACAACTGTGTGAATCAAGATGATTGTCAAAATTAATGGTCTACAGTGATTACAGTGAAAACCGTCAAAATCAAGAATGACACCCCATGCACGTGTTCAGGGCTACTGTGTTGTGCACGTGCGTTGTGTTTATAGGTGGTGATAAAGAAATATGGAGGTGCGTTCATAAGATGTCTGTCTTGGAAAAGTTTGTTAACGCTTAAACTTCCTATCCAAATTAAAAGTTCAGGTTCCCCACCTTTTTGAAGATTTTGGTTGGGAGAACGAATTGTAATTTCAGACGTGTTGGTCTGTTGATGATGATTCTAAGCATTGCTAATCATCCGTGGACAATGATCCATTGTGATTCATCGATCTAATCTAAAATACCCTTTAAGAATTTAGAATACTAAAGAGTGAATTTCACTGGTGTGATATTTCTGTAGATATACTTGTGGTATGTGGTGTGGTCTCCTCGCTATAATAATTCAATTCTCTTAGCAACATACTGAAGGCAATCGGCTATGTGAACAATCGTGTGGGGATTTTTACTACAGTGCAGATATGGTCACTATAACTTTGACTAGGAATAAACAAGTGCGAACAGGTTTGAACAAGTTGGTCATGAATGGACTGGTAAGAGGAGTTCTTATGATGTAAGGGTGACCCACCTATTTCATGATAGCCTCGTCTAATATGTTGAATACAGTCACACCTGCCTCCCCTTTTCATTGAAATCCGATTCACATCAGTGCATTCTCTTTACACCCAGTACAGTCTACTTGGAATGAATTCATCCATTGTCAGCCCTACATAATGACGAGGAAGCATTCGATTCAAATCTTTCTGTGTCACGCCAGCAGCCGAGAACTTTGTGTCATCAGAAAGTTAATTTTTTCTCACCCTGTTCAACCTTCCTTGCATTTATTAAGGTAACTGAACACAATTTAAGAATACATATATCTATCTATAACTGCAGGTATGTAATAGATGATATTAGGACAAATAACGTTATTTTTACGTTTAAGGTAATACGTAAAGTATTTTACGTTTTCTTAAATTTTATATCATAGTTCCTACTTATTTTAAATGTCACTGACGTATTGATTGATGAACATTCTGTTGTGAATATTCCCCATTTAAATATTGTCTATATTTTTCCGTTTTATTTTATTTAGAATGAAGAACACACAAGAATTTCTGAACAATGTGAAGACATCCACCGAACTGGAGACCTGGGCCACTTCGGACCATTAACCAAAACGAAAGGTATGAAATGGTTTCTAGTGTTAAAGCTTAAGTTTATCAAGTATGATGAAAATAATGAGATTATTTAAGCTGAGGCAGTCCTTAAAACTACCTTTTGGGCCACTAATTAACTTTTCTGAAATTGAACAGCAGTTGGCAGATGCCTACCAAAACTTGTACACATCTGCTGAGGAGTTTCAGGACGAAGGAAGTGGGTGGCTGCTAGATCAAAGTATTCATACTGAAGTCAACGCAGATGATTACGTCCCTTTGGAAGCAAATTCCTACATAAAACTCCCCAAATGTCTGACAGACTAAAAGACCAATCACAATATCCAAAATGAAGATCAGAAATGCTTTGGTCTGTGCAGGGTGCCTTCCATTCAGAAGATAGAAACATCAACCTGGTAAGGTTAGCAAATATTATCCACATGCGTCTGAGCTCAGCTTAGAAGGTTTTGTCCTGCCTGTCCCTCTATCTCAAATTTCAGAATTGGAGAGGTCATGCCTGGGACGGCATTTCTGTTCATGTATTTGGCTTTGAGGATGATGGAGAGTTTTCACTACATATCAGTTCTTTTAAGTTTGAAAAAGCAGTAGACTTGCTTCTCAGCCAGGTAAAAAAGCACTATTGTCCCATAATAATTTTCAGTAGACTCAATGGGGGATAGAACCAAACATGGCCATCAAAATATTGACTGTAGACGGTGTTTCCATTGTTTTTGTAAATAGGGCTTGTTAGAAGATCACAAAGTTGATGTGCAAATCATTCTGATACATTCTGATTCTGATATCTGTCTGTTCATCTGCAAGTAACTGTGGAATGTCCACACTGTTTGCAGTAGTGTCGATATATTTCAGAACACCATACAAACTCCAAAAGAAGTTGGCATAGCTTAAGTGTACGTGTGCTCAGTTTTCATACATCATATAGTGTATGCGTGAGGAATCTACTGCATAAAACATCACTGCATAATTTGACGCTTCTAAAAACCAAACTGTGTCTTAAATTCTAAAACAAGCTTTTACAACAAAACATTCTTGACAATTATCAGTTATTTTTTAAAATTATAACGGAAGACCTCTGTATTACAAACAAAGTAAAAAGTATAGAGACGCGGGATTTTTGTGTGAAATGTTTAATACTGGTTTAAACAAATCGGAATCTTTTGATATTCTCAGGCGAAATATAGCGAAACGTAGCCAAACTCACAACATAAAAAAATTGAAATGTTCTTTATGATCTATAAATCGAATGTGTAATATCAATGATCCGCTTCTTGATACATATAGTAAATACGTTAATTGTTACCAGTATTATTGCCTGTCACGTGTGTGCATTATATGTAATAAAGATAAAGACAGTTTGCTATTTATCATTAAACATGACATTTTGTTATAGCATGCAGTGTTAAGGAAGATGAGCTATTGATAACACAAAATCGATACACATATTTGAACGTTTTTTCAAGATGCTTATATATCACAAAAAAATTTTAATGGTATCTCTTTTGGTTCTTAGACATCAGAAATTGTTTTTAATATCACAAAATATATTTTAGGTATCATAAAATACCTTTTAGATACTATAAATCAAATTTCTGACAATCAATATTTCATGATATCGATACTTATTTCGTAACATTATAAAATTGGATATCAATCAATTATTATTACTATTGCTATAATAAAATAGATGATAATATAACGAAGATGTTCGTAAGGAATACGTATAGGCTGTCTGTGTAAAGGTCGCCAAGAAACCTTCACATAAAGTAAGCAGAGTTGTGTCCCTTGTTTGTTCTGCTCGCCGATCTCGGATTGTCAGATTTTTCATGTGCTTTGTCGAGCATAGTTTTTTATTTCTATATTTGCCTTTTGAATACTTTGCATTGACAGGAATAATGTATACTATGTGGGACGACACACCGAAACGTATGCAAGCTATATTTGTACGGAATTCATATTTAATTGGGGTTTTCTGCCTGTTATTTACTCTGAATATGAATAGGAATGTGAATGGTGAAATCCAAGCCCAAACATCTTGAATCCTATCAACGTGTCAAAAAACGAATCCCAGAGAACTTTCAACTCTGGCTAGCAGTCTGCCAAATCGCAATGTACAGGATCTTGTTTAAATCTCAGATTCTGTCGATCAAAATTAATATTTTTACAGCATCACGTCCCAGGTTGTCAGGTGCACCAAGATAGTTACCATAAGATGTTTTTTATATATATTTTTTTGTAGTTGTTGTTTACGCCGCACTCAGCAATACTCCTACTATATGGCGGTTAGAAAATAAACGTGCCTGGGCCAGACAATCCAGTGATCAACATCATGAGCATCGTTCTACGCAACTGGGATACGATGACAAGTGTCAACTAAGTCAGCGAGCCTGCTAGACTCCCCACAGTAAACTATTGTAATGTATACTTAGACACGTTTTGTATAAGTTTAGCTGATGCTTGAAAGAAAGTAAGTCTGATTTTAAATAATATTTTCATCGCTGGGCGTATATTTTGCAAATTCTCGCACAGCACAGAGAAATATAATCTACATATGTTTACAGTTGAATTGGGAACCTGCGAATATCATGGACATATGAAATGCCTTGGCTCCTTTGGGACTTAAGAGTATGTTCAAGTCTCAACTTCGGAACCCGTTCTACTGACACACCTTAGCACTACTACCATCGATGTTAAACCACGGCATTCGTGACCCACTCGTGTTATTCCGGGACAAGCCGAATAGCGATCTTGGTGGTTACGGCAACGGGCGAGTGGAAATGAAACCACGGGAGTTAGGATCGCCATAACGCTGAGATCGCTTTGTTGCGGTAAGAGGTCGACTTGGCAAAGTTGATCGTTAACATTAATCACTGTGTTGTGTGTTCCCGACTTGATTATTTCCAACCCGCCTTTGTATGGCCCCATATTTAAAAGAGCAAGACGATAGCGGTGGCTGTTGGATGAGATTTACAGCTCTAAACAAATACACCATTTACTAGGGGTGGGTATTGCAGAGAATTTTCATATATATATTTTTATATAAATATTTCAGAATGTGTCCTATCCCAGGATGGGAATGCAACCGAAGAAACATTTAAAGAAAGAGTTAGGAACCTTTCTGAATTATGGCCCTGACCCTCAGGGTGGGAGTGGCAGAAAGAAGAGGAGCTAATAATTGTGTGTTTTGGAGTTATTGTGTTTAAAGATCTGAACTGTGGCATGAAACTTGGTGGCGTGAATGTCAGTTTAATGATGAATGCAGATGATATTGTGTTATCACCAACAGAGATCACCTACAGAATGTCACGTATGAAGATTTGATGAAAAGTGACTTGTTTTATGTTCTGTCTTCATGTTTTGTTCATGGTCATCTTGGATTCATTTCATGGTGAAAGTAATTGCATTGTGTTTATTCAGGGGTCTGTCTAATAGCTGAAATTCAGAAAAAATGGGCAATTTACACCTTTTTAAGATAACAATACAACAGTAAATAGTTTTTCTTTATTTGGAATACTCTTTCCTTCTTACTGGAATTACACCCAACGGGCATAAAACTTAAATGAATACTATTGAATGTGAAATATTGACCAAGTATTTTATGAGGTAAATATTTTTACTGTAAGTTTCTGTTTCACTGTTTATTGCAGGTAGCCTTTTTTGTGTATTTTAATTAGATGCAAGAGTTTAGTGCTACCTTAGTGTAGATTAAAGTTGAAATGCGAGGTTATTTACAGAAATACGGAATACATGTACACATATTGTAAACTTGGTTGAAATTTTACGTGTTTACGTTGGATTTCTATATAAAAAACTCCCATACACAACCACGGAACAACCCATTTTCAACTTTGACAATAGGTCAAACTTCAACGTTGATTCCACGTCGGATATCTACGTCTAAAAAACTTTCATATACAACGGACCAACCTATTCCCAACGTTGAAACAACGTTGATGTGCCCGCTGGGATTGTTTTCACATGGTCTCCAGACTGGCTCTTACAAAGTTACCCAGTTCTGTTGTCAGCTGAGCTTTTCTAGGATTCAAAACTAATTACAAATAGTAATTTGGCAGGCAAATTGAGAATAATTAATTTGTGTGAATAAAAATGTGAAATGGATTTTATGTAGGCTTTTCGCCAACTGTGAGGAATTGGGCATTTATTACTTCACACTGACTACTTGCTATCATTTGCTGCAGGCGTGGGCCGAGTTTCGTCCTGTGAGCAGGCCCAGGTGAATACCTAACTGTTACATCACATCGTGCACTTTCTAGTACCAATGTTCCTTTGATCTGTGAATTCTCGACCGTTTTGTTTTGCACATGCAGCTTCAAGACGTCAGTCCCAACTACAGCCGAGGCGACGGAGATTGTATGGCGCTTCACGTAGTTAGGTGAGGTTACAGGACAAAATTAATATGAAGAGTAGTCTCTCATAGTCTCACTTTCTTACAGGGAGATTCTTAACATAGACATGTCTAGTTATTAACCATCAGTCGATGCATAAATATTCTTTGCTTAGTCCCAAACAATTCTCTTCATTGACTACAGTGTGGGGGGAAGCAGGTCTGAAACAATTTCCACTTTGGTGAATCCACTGTAAGTCTGGGTCAAGTGATGACAAATCTACATACAAATCAGGTGAGACGGGATTCGAAACAACACTCATTGGCGTTTGATGTGACCAAAGGGAGGCAACTTTATTAGCAGCTTGCCACAGCTCAGACAACTGGTCCAGTCTGCCTGTCGAGGTGGTGCCACAAATGCTCGATAGGGTTCATGTCTGGTGAACATGCTGACCATGGTAAGACATGGACGTTAATGTTGTTCGGGTAGTCACTTGTCAGTCGGGCGGTGTGAGGTCTTGCATTATCAGACAATGCCACGTGGCTGTTGGTGAATGAATGGAAGGACTACCGGTCGCAGAATGTCATCCCTGTACCTCTGTGGAGTAAGGTTGCCACGAACGATGACTAGCCTTGTTTTCAGTTAACCGCATAATCCTCCCCACACCATAACACCACCTCTACCATACGCCGGAACTTCCTGGATACTTTCTTTTGGCCAGTAGAATAGATAATTTGAAAGAACATTTTCAATCAAAAATAACTCCAAGATAGTTATACACAATAACGGTTTTCCTTGGGTTCAACTAACTGGTTGAAATTTCCAATTGGGGCATTCCCATTTATATATGGGTGTTGCCCTAATTGATCTCTAGTCCGGTGTCTGACAATTGGGATGTCTAACTAATGGGATGTCTAACTAATGGGGGTAAACCTGTGTGTCCCAACAGTGTGTATCAAACATAACAATTAATCATTGATGCGTATCTTGTCACATGAAAATTAAGACCTTCATGCCATGTGATAGTTAGACACGTTGCGAACCACCTGGAACCCCAGAGTATGTGTATGGCCCTGACAGACCATGGATCATAACCAGAGCACATCTTGATTTCAACCCCAGGACCAGCGATTCCCTGGATCCCAGTGTATGTTCGACTTATCAGTTGCTTTCTCTTTTCAGTGTGACAGGCTGAGCGGGAAGACACCCTTACATCCTGGTCATAAAGGGGACACAACTCTACATGGCAACACATGCTCTGCTTCGTCTTATGAAAGACGTATATAGGGTTAGGGTTAGGGTCTTGATCTTACGAAGAGCCACATCCAAGTCATTGAAAGGCAATTTGGAAAACAAACAAAATTGATTTTTTAGTGGATAACAGCTTCGCTATCCTAATAAATATAACAAGTATTTATCCTAATAAATATAAAAAGTATTATCCATCAAAACTGTCATGGAAACACTGTACAGCAGTAGTTTTTTATTTGTAATGGCCGAAATTGTATCAGTATTACAGGTTTGTGATGTCAGTCTGTAAAATGAACACTTGACGAATGGCTGACAGCTGAGCATTGATCTGTGCAAGTGGCATCTAATGGCCTGGATAAACACAGTCAGTAAACCTGACCACATGATCACACTAGTTGCCTCCTAACAAGCTTCTGAAAACCCTAACCTGGATCTTCTAGAGGACAACAGGTATCAGCTTCAGAACATTCACTTGAGATGCTGATGTTATATAACCACAAAAGACACATTTGAATGCTTGACTCTCTCTCCGTGTACTCAAAATACAGTGAAAACAACACAGATATAATGATAAGAATTTATTGAATATTGCCACAACGTAAAATGAAAAACTCACATTGACTAGATGTCAGATCTGACTACTTGTCAGATCAGTTTGCTTGAGCTAATAACGACACAAACAATTATTGCACTTCAGCTTACATTTTCCCATAGAAAGCTTTTCTCTAGTTTCTTGCCTTGGGATTAATAACTGCTCAGTCAGTTCATCTACAACTTTTCAAACAAAGTCAAACAAACAAGCATATTTCACCTGTGCCAGATGGTATTCTGAGAGCAAAAGGTAGTTTATTATTTATGTAAAATGTTAAGGAATTAGGGTTCTTCCAAGTGAAATGTCCAATGGCCCGTTGAATAGCATAAATTAGATAAACTACTATTTAATTTAGATCTGGGTCCAAGCTGTTTTAAAGTGATGAATGTTATGGTGTTTTTAACCCGACCAAAGCATAACGAACAAGACGGCTACATAGGCTGTACTTCGATAATGAATGTTATTCACGACAAGCACATTAACATCCTTTCCTGCAAATTTTGTCCAGGCCAAACAAACCATGTCACCACACAAATAAATGTCCTGAGTAGAAGAGAATTGTGTTGTGCAACTTGGGGTTAAGAAGTACAAAGCGAGAGTGTGCACGAGTACAGGTGGCATGATATGACTGGGCAGGCAAGTGACAATCACATGACGTGATTGTCACACCAGGTTTGCAGAGCCATGTAGCAGAAATCCGCCTGTTTGGAATTAGCAGAACATGTCCCCTTCAGCCAGTTTACGAAAAGGATCCTATCTCCGTCCAACTTCAGGTACTGGCCCAGAACATTGCGCGCCTGGAAAAACAATAAACAGTAAATTGTTGGGGATGAGAGGTGAAAAGGAGTGTAATGTTGCTTTCAAGTAACAGAATATCAATACTAATCCAGATTTTAGTGCTACCAACTGAGAGAGAGCATGCTGCAGTTTAGCATGCATACCGACATGAGTAAAAATATCATTCTTTACTTATCCTTACTCACATATATTTATCAATAGTCATTGATACTACATAATTAATTCACAGCAACAGAAATATTGAACATGATTCAGGTGACTTTGATTGTCCTGGATACTGAAGAGACAGAAATTTCAACCTAGTTCATACTTAGAATAAAATGTATTAACCGTAACCATCGTAAAGATACGCAGTGTCAAATGTTTTTGTGACATCGACATTTTTTGATAATCTTGCAAATGACTTTTTGTATTTGAACCAGAGTAGGTGGGAGTTCAACTGGTCAAAGTAACGTTATCAAGCAGTTGTTGTTCGAATTGCAGGAAACATGCAACAAGCATGATATATTTGAAAATAACAATAACTCTTGCCTTTGAGCATATTTATCCCTACAGATACAGCTCAATGTATTTAATGAGAAATCAATTTATCAGAATATCCTGATACGTTTATGTCAGTATAACTGAAATTCTTTTCATCAATGTCAGTTTTGTTTGGTTCTTCAGTCTACTGAAATGTAAGACATCGTAAAGTGTAATCTCACCCTTGGAAACCCCGCTTTGCTGAGTCTGTGACCAAGAGCTGGTCCTATCCCTGGTAGTTCAGTCACAAGCTTATCTCCCAATGGCTCTGACACAAAGTGCTGATGTGTCTGAGTTGTCGAGGATGGCATCTCTCCAGATGCCGCAGAATACATCCTGACTTGTTATCAGATGACTTTCACTGTAAAATAATATTCATTTGTTTTATTGTCATGTTCGGGTTTTTTTTCCCCAAAAGACATGTTAAATCTGATACTATACATACTGTCGATGAACTAGTAGCGAAACAATAACAATCTTTTAATTGTTCCGAGTAATGCTGATGCTTTGTTTCATGAGTGTCGGCCCGGGAAAGCAAAATTTCAATATTGAATGAATGAATGAATGAATTGTTTATTAACGTGTCACGCATAAAATTACAAGGTATACACACAATAAATATACAAAGGTAAAATAGATTATGCAGGGCCTCAATAGGCCGAAGAGACACGGTATAAAACTGTAAAATATAACTTATTTCAATAAGATAAAATAACCGTACAGTGCAATGTATATATAAGGTACATAAAATTGTAAAAATATTTAATAAAATAATGACTCGATAGAATTAATTAAAATATTCTTAAAACATTTACGACGATAAAACATCTTAAAACACATTAAACCTAAGTTAGATAAGAAAGCAGTAGAAGATAACAAAAAATTAAATTTAAAATATTTCCTATTCCCGGTAAAGCGAAAAACCAAAGTTGTGCTAGAAGGGCCGCGAAAGCGAATTGCTGTGAAAACATCGGCAAACCGTACTTCAGATTAGCGCGCGACCCCAATACTCGATCTGTGAGCCTCTTAACTGAGATGAAGTTTCAATTGTTTCAAGTTTCAGCACGTACGTGATCCTACCTAACTATAGTTTTATTAATTCATATAATGAATTATGATCATTGTTTAAAGAACCTTAATGTTCCTGGCCGAATTTCTCAAAGTTCCGTCAACGTTTTTCAAGGAAAATATCTACTCTTTAAATGTATACAAGTTCATTAAGATTGTTTGTAAACACTTTAATTGATGTATCATTTAGTCATCTTGTTGTACATTTTTTATGTACTCCTTTGTTATACTCATGTACCACCGATATCTGTTCTCACCCCATCTCATAGTGAACTACCTGAGGGAAGTTGATATGTATCATAAATCATAAACTATGTAATGTGAATAACGAATTACGTGCTTTGGAATTTAGTGCTATGACATTTTCAAAGGCTAGAAATCTCCGCATTCCAATCGATTGTTTGTGTAAATGTTTTGGCTGCATGATCCTACCAATCATGCTACGTGGTTGCAAGGTGTGAGGACATTCAAATATAGATATTTTAGAAAATATTCACAGGCTATTCATGAAATCTGTCCTGAAACTACACAAGATTACACCATCCTACATGCTCTACGGAGAGACTGGGTGAATTCCTATCCCTGTATTTATTAAAAAGTAAATAATTTCAGTTTGGTTTAAACTTGCTACTAACGTACATCGAAATAAAATGTCAGTTATAATTCACAATGTTTTATCAAACATGCTAGAAAATTATATGTATGCTTCACCATGACTTGCTAGTGTTAAACGTATTTATTTATTTATTAAATATCTACCATGACTACGGTATCAGACGACGACTCACATTTCTTTGTTTATCTTGTGTATTGAGAGTTCTGGGAACGCTAAATTCAGAGTTCACTGTAGCTTGACCGTTCCCGCGAAAGCGACACCTAAATTGAGGGGGTTTAGTCCAGATTTCGTTTTCCCGGGCCATAACCATTTTGTGGCCAGTAAATAGAACGTCTTGGGTAAGACAAACCAGTGGTTGATATTGTGAGCAATGGTCCATACTGTCGGGGTATGATACCACAGTGGAACAAGTCAGTGTGTGTGACCAGCTGATCCACACTGTCGGGATACGATATCACAGTGGACCATGTCAGCATGTCTGACCAGCTGATCCACACTGTCGGGATACGATACCACAGTGGACCATGTCAGCGTGTCTGACCACCAGATCCACACTGTCGGGGTATAATAACACAGTGAACCATGTCACCGTGTCTGACCACCCTATCCACACTGTCGACATACGATACCACAGTGGACCATGACAGCATGTCTGACCAGCTGATCCACACTGTCGGGATACGATTTCACAGTGGACCATGTCAGCATGTCTGACCACCAGATCCACATTGTCGGGATACGATACCAAGGTGGACCATGTCAGCATTTCTGACCAGCTGATCCATACTGTCGGGGTACGATACCACATTGGACCATGTCAGCGTGTCTGACCACCAGATCCACATTGTCGGGATAAGATATCACAGTGGACCATGTCAGGATGTCTGACCAGCTGATCCACACTGTCGGGATACGATATCACAGTGGACCATGTCAGTATGTCTGACCAGCTGATCCACACTGTCGGGGTATGATACCGCAGTGGACCATGTCAGCATGTCTGACCAGCTCATCCACACTGTCGGGATAAGATATCACAGTGGACCATGTCAGCGTGTCTGACCACCAGATCCACACTGTCGGGGTACGATATCACAGTGGACCATGTCTGCATGTCTGACCAACTGATCCACACTGTCAGGATACGATACCACAGTGGAGCATGTTAGCGTGTTTGACCAGCTGATCCACACTGTCGGGGTACGATACCACAGCGGACCATGTCAGCATGTCTGACCAGCTGATCCACATTGTCGAGGTACGATATCACAGTGGACCATGTCAGCGTGTCTGACCACCAGATCCACACTGTCGGGGTATAATACCACAGTGAACCATGTCAGCGTGTCTGACCACCCTATCCACACTGTCGACATACGATACCACAGTGGACCATGACAGCATGTCTGACCAGCTGATCCACACTGTCGGGATACGATTTCACAGTGGACCATGTCAGCATGTCTGACCACCAGATCCACACTGTCGGGATACGATATCACAGTGGACCACGTCAGCATGTCTGACCAGCTGATCCACACTGTCGACATACGATACCACAGTGGACCATGTCAGCATGTCTGACCAACTGATCCACACTGTCGGGATACGATATCACAGTGGACCATGTCGGCGCGTCTGACCACCAGATCCACACTGTCGGGGTATAATACCACAGTGAACCATGTCAGCGTGTCTGACCACCAGTTCCACACTGTCGAGATACGATACCACAGTGGACCATGTCAGCAATGATCCACACTGTCGGGGTATATAAAGACCCCATGGTGAACCATGTCAGAGTGTCTGACCAGCTGATCCACACTGTCGGGGTTTAATACAACAGTGGACCATGTCAATGTGCCTGATCAGCTGATCCACACTGTCGGGGTATGATATCACAGTGGACCATGTCAGCGTGTCTGACCAGCTGATCCACACTGTCGGGGTATAATACCACAGTGGACCATGTCAATGTGCCTGGCCAGCTGATCCAAACTGTCGGGGTATGATATCACAGTGGACCATGACAGCGTGTCCGACCAGCTGATCCACACTGTCGGGGTACGATGCCAAAGTGAACCATGTCAGCAATGATCCACACTGTCGGGGTACGATACCACAGTGGACCATGTCAGCATGTCTGACCTGCTGATCCACACTGTCGGGGTACGATACCACAGTGAACCATGTCAGCAATGATCCACGCTGTCGGGGTACCATACCACAGTGGACGATGACAGCGTGTCTGACCAGCTGATCCACACTGTCGGGGTTTCATACTACAGTGAACCATGTCAGCAATGATCCACACTGTCGGGGTACGGTACCACAGTGAACAATGTCAGCGTGTCTGATCAGCTGATTCACACCGTCGGGGTACGATACCACAGTGAACCTGCTGGCAATGATCCACACTGTCGGGGTACGGTACCACAGTGAACAATGTCAGCGTGTCTGACCAGCTGATCCACACTGTCGGGGTATAATAACACAGTGGACCATGTCAATGGTTCTGACCAGCTGATCCACACTGTCGGTATACGATATCACAGTGGACCGTGTCAGCATGTCTGACCAGCTGATCCACACTGTCGGGGTACGATACCACAGTGAACCATGTCAGCAATGATCCACACTGTCGGGGTACGATACCACAGTGAACCATGTCAGCAATGATGCACACTGTCGGGGTACGATACCACAGTGAACCATGTCAGCATGTCTGACCAGTTGATCCATTCTGTCCGGGTACAATACCACAGTGGACCATGTTAGCGTGTTTCATCAGCTGATCCACACTGTCGGGGTACGATACCACAGTGGACCATGTCAGCATCTCTTACCAGCTGATCCACACTGTCGGGGTACGGTACCACAGTGGACCATGTCAGCGTGTCTGACCACCAGATCCACACTGTCGGGATACGATATCACAGTGGACCATGTCAGTATGTCTGACCAGCTGATCCACACTGTCGGGGTACGATACCGCAGTGGACCATGTCAGCATGTCTGACCAGCTCATCCACACTGTCGGGATACGATATCACAGTGGACCATGTCAGAATGTCTGACCAACTGATCCACACTGTCGGGATACGATATCACAGTGGACCATGTCAGCGTGTCTGACCACCAGATCCACACTGTCGGGGTATAATAACACAGTGAACCATGCCAGCGTGTCTGACCACCCTATCCACACTGTCGACATACGATACCACAGTGGACCATGTCAGCATGTCTGACCAACTGATCCACACTGTCGGGATACGATATCACAGTGGACCATGTCAGCGTGTATGACCACCAAATCCACACTGTCGGGGTATAATACCACAGTGAACCATGTCAGCGTGTCTGACCACCAGTTCCACACTGTCGAGATACGATACCACAGTAGACCATGTCAGCAATGATCCACACTGTCGGGGTATATAAAGACCCCATAGTGAACCATGTCAGAGTGTCTGACAAGCTGATCCACACTGTCGGGGTATAATACCACAGTGGGCCATGTCAATGTGCCTGATCAGCTGATCCACACTGTCGGGGTATGATATCACAGTGGACCATGTCAGTGTGTCTGACCAGCTGATCCACACTGACGGGGTATAATACCACAGTGGACCATGTCAATGTACCTGGCCAGCTGATCCACACTGTCGGGGTAT